TCCAGGCTCTGGGTAATAGGAGCTGCAGGGTAAGAGACCGTCAAGCTTTTGTATCACTGGTCTCCGCCACTATCGCCAGCACCCTTGAACGCAGGAAGCGCTTGGGAGCGTGGGCTTAGGCGCGTGGGCTCGGGGTGCGCATGCCTGGTGGTGGACACCTAAGTATAGAGTGGGCATGCGTGAGTGGGCACACCTGAGTCTGGAGGCTGAGCATATTAAGGGCGGCATTGCACAAAAAAGCAACCATAGTGGAGGGTGGCAGAGAACAGTTACGAGAGGACAGCTGTGAGGGGAAACCCAGAGCAAAGAGCCATAGAGATTCTTATGGGGCCAAGTTGCTGTCTCCCTGCTGGTTTGTTCCCCCTGCTACTACTAGAAAACCTGTGGGAATGAGGCCAAGGGCTCCAAGGTTTTCTTTTAAGCTGCCTAAACAGATGGTTTAACCTACCTGGCCTGGATGGTTGCAGAACAGGAGCCAAAGACAAGAACTGGTCTCTCACTAGATCCACTAAGGATACTTAAATTTGGGAATTGTGGAGTGGCTGCATTTTGTTAACAAGATAGCTGGAGAAAGAGACAACTAACCTTCAGAATGAATGGGATTACATATGACCACAACCACACAGTCATACTGTGTTGGGCGCAGAGATGGACCACCCAGAGTTCCCTTCAAAGAAGCACTTGCTACTACCTACAGGTGTGCAGTCAGCACATCAGCTGTCCATTCCAGTCCCTCCAAGGCCTTCTGCCAAGGGGATGCCCTTCTGGGGCAGTGTGTACCAGGTGACTGAGGGGGCTCAGGTTTAAAGTATGGAACAGTGCTTTCTGATGTGGGGCACTAATGGAAAATGCTTTCTCCAGGCTTACCTGTAGGTTGGCCAAGGCTTTTCAGACCTACATCACAATTGAAATTTTCTCTCTGGCCCATCCTACTTCCTCTCCCTTCCTTTCACAAGCATATATTCCTTCAAACTCCTTTCAGGAAAAGCTTTTGAATAACCCAAACACAGACCCACAAAATAAAATCCAGACTTCCAGGCCTTGGTTTTGTTTTCTTCCTCTGGTGTGGAAGACAGCTGCACTTGTACTTCCTGACCTTTATCTTAACAGCAAACAGCAGCCTTTGACCAAAATGTCCTTGTCATCAACATCATCATCATCATTGCCACTATAATCATCTAATTTTAAGTAAATCACTTCCTGCATCTTCATTTTTTATTAATTTAATTTTTATTTATATCTTTTATATCACTGTTTGTTCCTCATAAAATTCCCACCACCAATTAACCCATAACTCACCACCACAGTCCCTCAATGATCTGTTCCTCTGGTGTCTTTCTTTTCTTAGCCATTCATTGATGGGTCAGGAAAAGGTCCTTCTAATCGTCATTCTATCTGACTCTGTTGTCAGATAGCTGATCACACAAGGTGCCTGCTGAGCCACCAAAATATTTTTTTAACTATATAATTTACTTTTATTAGACATCTTATTTCACATCTTAACAAAGAGTCATCAGTGGTGTGCTGGCATAAAAAAACAGGGAGGAAAGGGGAAAACATAAAAGTACTGATTTGTACAGTCTGCCCATTTCTGTGGTGTAAATGCTACCACCTTGAGCCAATTTCAAGTGTCCAGCAGTTTAATAAAGAGCTAAATAATTTCCCCAAATGAAATAATTAACTCTCACAAACTGATACAAGCCAGCATAAGTCAATTCCCACATAATTTTGAAAATGATTATAAATTTTGATTAGATCATAGGTATCCCTGAACCTATCTTGAAATCTGTGACTTTTTTTAAAATAATGTAATAGTTTATTTTTACATCATTTTGTTCCTTTTCCATCTTAGTTGTAATCCCCGTGGGCTTCTCATCACCAAATCGTCTGTGTGCCATCACCATAGTCCAGTGCACTTCTCCACCTCACCTCTACATTTTTTTATCCCATTTCCCATTCCACCCCTGTAAGATGTCTCTAGTATATAGTTGTTTGTTATATTATTATTATTATTATTATTATTATTATTATTATTATTATTATTATTATTTTCTCGCCTGGTCCTTTATACTCTTGCTGTGAGTGTGAAACCATCCAGTATTTTTCTTTTCTTTTCTGGTTTATTTCACTAAGCATGATCTTTTCCAGCTCCATCCATGTTGCTGCAAAAGGCATGCATTTATTTTTTTTACCAAAATATTTTAACCATCGCTAAAAAATACAATTTCTCATATTTCTTTTTAACTATCCCTAATATACACTGTCTTGGATATTTAATTCTCACCTAAGATATTTCCCCAGAAAAGAACCCCAGGTTTCTAGTTATTAAACAACTCAACTACACATTTTAGCAAAGAGTCAGCTCCCAAAGTGGTTAGGAGAGCTGCATTATCATGCACAATGTAAGATCAGGAGAGATGGTAGAGTTGCCATTTGATACTTCAATCCAGGGCCTCCCTGGTGATACAGGATGAAAAGTGTCAGTGCTATCAGGCTGTTCAGCATGATAGCATGAATTTGATCCCAGCCAGGGAGCTGGCACATATAGTATTGCAGACCTGTCCTTTGTTCCCTTTAGCAGTGTATTTCAGGACATCTGCCTGTTCTGCTCTCCACTGTCTCTGGTGAATTCTTTAAACCTTGCACATCTGGCCTATACCCCAGTTCTTATATGCATAAATAATTTTTTAATAAAATAAAATAATTTTTTTTTATTGTAAAAAAATAGAAGTTGGGCTTCTTCACTCTGCTACACTGAGGTGGAAAAGGAAGGAATAGGGGTTTGAGAAACTGAATAATAGTTCAGTGACAGCCCTTCATGATTTCTGCCGTCTTTTCTCTGCCCCCAACTTGACTCTGGCATTTCCCTTGCTCTGTTTTCCAACAACCCAAAGTTCCCTCTTCCAGGATTGTTTAAGTCTCCCTTTTTCTTCAAAATTGTCATTCAACAATACCATCACAACCACCAATACTTTCACAACAATAATGTTACAGGACAGGGAGAGGGACAGAACAGGGAGAGGGATACCCTAGGGCCCCCAAACCTGCCCCCTGTAAATAGGGGGCATCAAGACTAAACATTTAAGGCCTTTAATGGAAAGGAACTTTAGTACAATGAGTGTGCAATACAGAAAAGACAAAGAATATAGTTTCTAACTCAAACACCCAAAGTTACCCATCCCCTCCTGGATAAAAGTCCACCCAAAAGCAATTGGTCCAAAGCAAGGCCTGAAAGCCAGACACAAGTCTAAAGCACCTTCTGGCTGAGACCCATAGAAAAGGGCCAGAAGTGGCCAGACAAGTCTGGGAGGAAAAGAACAAAATCAAAATCAAGATAAATGCTGCCACAGTCACCTCCCCAATAGGTCTCTCATCGGCATTTGTTTCAACCAGTCCAGGGCCAAAAAATAAACAAGAGCCATTTCTTCACATCTACCTGCTCCATGTACTTTCCTCATGTCTCCTTCTGGCTCTCTATCCTGCTTCTTTCCACTTCAGTCTCCTCTCCAGATTCTTCTTCTCCCTGCTCAGCTCCACCCTCCTTTTGATTGGGGCAGGGAACCTAGAAACTCCCCTGTTCCTGAGGACCACCCTGTTACAATAACACTTCTAAAACTGCAGTCTCAGTGCAGATTGCTGAATTTAGGTACCTGCGACGCTATCAAGGATACTTACTGGTTTAAAGATATTTTCCCGCCTGTAAATGAAAAACCAAAATTGTAACAGTTGTGAGAAAATGAGATAAGTTAAGAAATCATACAAAAATCTCTAGTCCACAGTTCCAGAACTTCCTCTATGATTTTAGGTGGCAATCCAGATGGCTTTATGTTCTCAGAAATCAACACACTCTCCCTTGTTGTTCCCATCTCCCAAGGCTTGTCTTTATTCAGGCCAACTGAAATATTTTCCTTTTCTCACTGCAAAGATGTAATCTAGCCTAATCTCTGTCTCCATGGGCAGCCATATCTGCAAAAGGAGATTTTCTTTGGTTCCTCTGGAAGCTTCTTCCTCACAACCCATAAGATTTTACTAAACTCTCCCAGGTTACTTTAATGCTCTTTCAGCACTGCTCGCTGCTCAATGAGTAGTAACCCAACTAAGGTTTCCTGCCTACCTTTCTTCCTCACTCTGCTCACTCATTCCAAATTCCCACTTCCTGACCCAGGTATAGCAGAGTGATAACAGCTAAATACCTGCAAGTTACAACAGTTTGAGGGAGTAGCACGAAACAGCCCACAGCTAAGAAGCCATGTCTTTAATGTCAGACAGCAAGCAAAATATAAATTTGCTAATTAAAGTGTCTAATCCGTAGTATCTAACAATCATTTGTAAAATAATCTGTAAAACAGTTATGAGGTGGGTGTGTGTGTTCTTTTAGATTTTCTAGTTCTAAAAAAATGATCTCTCTATCCCTCTCTCCTTAGAATCCTATAGTATGCTGGAAATGGGGAAATGGCTGATGACAGGCTGTTAATGTCAAAGAATTGAGAGAAAAAAATTATGCTCCTTTCTACCTGAAACTATCAGGAATTCCAGTACTAATAGACCCATATATTGACTTTCTTTCAGTTACTGCTAGCTGATTTCCTTGCACGATTCCATCTAATCTTCACAATTACACAACGGGATGTAGCGTAATTGTGTTATTGTCTCTATTGTATAGAAGCTTGGAGAAGTATAACATTTTTCTTTCATTTTCAAACTTCATTACAGTTAGTCGTTACTACAGAGATTAGGGTGGGTTTTCCCATTCAGAGTCAGTAAGTTTTGCTTCTCTCCCCTCCTCCAGGCTTCCTTTGCTGAGAAGGGAGGGGGCGCTGGGCGGCCGGTGACGCCAGGTGGGCGGGGGCGTGGCGTCCTGTTCAGGGGCTGGGTTTGAAGGACCCGCCCCGCGGGAGGAAGTCATAGTGGGCGTGGCCTCCCTCAGAACCTTGCGCAGGATCCGCGCCCAGCCGCCTCAGAGCCGTAAAGAGAGATAAGAGTCGTAAAGTGGTGAGACGCGGAAGCGTCGGTTTACGACAACTTGGAAGATCGAACCTGTCCGGCGCTGATCGCTCGGCGTTCTTGGCCGCACACGTGTGGCTCCGGCCGGTAATTCATTCCGCTTTAAGCGGAACAGACACTTTGAAAGACAGAGAGGCAGCGGCAGCCAAGATGGATTTTGCTGATGAAAATGAAGGGACGTCGGGAGAAGATCTTCAACGTGCTGCCGAGGGGGCGCGGCTAATTCCCGAGTCCGAGTACGGTAGCGAGCGAGTCAGGGTCATAGCAAGGATGGAGAAGGCCATCAGTGCAGAGATGGGGAATAAACTGACAGAAATAGAGAAGACAGATGATGGGAAGGAAGGAAGTGGACAAAGAGCAGAGGAAATGCTAGTGGACCTAACGGTTGTGAAACAAGAAGTTATGGACTGGTCGGAAATGGAAGCAGGTATGTTGCATGGCCAGTGGGTGAAGCAGGAGGTGGAGGATGGTCCTGGCGTGAAGGAGGAGAACCCCGGCACATCGGAGGTGAAGCAGGAGGTGGATAGTAATTGGGGGGTCAAAGAAGAGAAGGCAAATGAACTGGAAATAAAGGAAGAGAAAGTGAAGGTGAAAGAAGAGAGATTGGATTGGCAAGAACTGAAGGAAGAGAGGGATAACTTGGAAATAAAACAAGAGGAAGTGTTTGATGGTAAGAATATAAAAAAGGAGGAGGTGATGGATGAAGTGTGTGTAAAAGAAGAGAAGTATTTCCCAAAGAAAGAAATGATGGATGATACAAATGTTAAAGAAGAGCTTCAGATAAGTCTGCCCGTGGGCTCCAAGCGGAAACTGGCTATGTCAAGGTAGGAAAAGAAGAAATGATGAACTCTTTTGTTGCTAGATTGAAGGAAGGTACATGTGGGATAATAAAAATTAAGCCCAACTTTGGGTCCAACTTTGATAGGAGGAGGGATTGGGGAATTGAGAATGTAAGTGTTGTCTAATGAGCAAAGAAGTTTGTAGTGGCCTGCGGTGGGGGGCTCTGCCCCATTAGGAATGAAAATTCTGGGGACTCTGACATGAATTATGCTTTTGACTCAGTATTTCTTTGAGAGAGGATAAAAATGAGGAAAATTCTAAAAAATTCGTAGTGACAGTTAACTTAAAATTAGACACAAATGCACTTGAACCCATTCACTTGTGTGGTTTATCTGTGAGTACTACACATATGTATTGTTTTTGATTTAATTTCTTTTATAGTGTGTGATCGTGTGAGACAGTATTAAATGATCAGGTTCTTGGGACTATTATGGACTAGAACACAGTGGGCCATACAGAAGTAGCTATGGGCTTGTTAGTATCCCAAGATCCTTGAAGCACAGTTAAAGTCAAGTTCTAGATAATTTTGGTCAAGTTCTAGATAATTTTGATGCCATTCTAGGCTGATTGTGAAAATAAAGAGAATGATGCAACTGTCACTCAATAAAGTTTAACTGAACCTTCTGTTCTTTTCTGGTGCCTTTGAGATACAGAACTCGAATTGAACTACTGCATATATGCACTCCTACATAATCACTGACACATTGTACTAGGAATTACAAGTTCAAATATGAGTGAATAAGCCCATTCTCTGATTATAATGTAAAAGAATCAAAGTGTGATGGTTTTTAAGTTAATGTGTATTTTCTCGAATTACAAAGCACAGCACTGTCAATATAGTCATTTGGAGATGGTTTACTTGAGGAGAAACTCCAACAGTGTTTGACAGCTATCAAGTATTTTTTCAGTTACTTTCATTCTCTATAACTACACATCTGTAAATTCATTGTGATGAGTAATTGATTTAGCATTGAAAATTCATTAGTAAGAGGCATTAATATTTGATAATTTACTAATTTTCATTTGGTAGGTGTGAAACTTGTGGTACAGAAGAAGCAAAGTACAGATGTCCACGTTGTATGCGTTATTCCTGCAGGTATTTATATAAATTTCTATCTTATTACCTCTATCTATACCTTTCTTATTTCAAAGTGTGAAAAGCACCTTCTTTTTGTTCCTTCAGTTTGCCGTGTGTAAAGAAACACAAAGCAGAACTGACATGTAATGGAGTTCGGGATAAGACTGCATATGTTTCAATACAACAATTTACTGAAATGAATCTTTTAAGTGGTAAGCCATGTTACACACAGATGATTGATTGCCCCTGGGCCATGGGCATACATCATTTGTTTATTTTCCTATTTTGAAATTTTTAGACTATCGATTTTTGGAAGATGTGGCAAGAACAGCAGACCATATTTCTAGAGATACTTTCTTGAAAAGACCAATAAGTAATAAGCATGTAAGTATTTCTTCTAATCCCTTCTAATTAGAATTCTTTCAAATCACTAACATTAATTTTTTTCACTCAATATTATAGCCATCATAATCCAGTGTTATGCCAATCACTAAAGATACAGTAGAGATAAAACAAAGTCCCTCCCCTCCTGGAGCTTCTGTTATAAGGGGAGAGACAGGAGATGAGTAGAGGTACAAATGTAATTCTAGGTAGAATTAAGTGCGTGTAGAAAATAAAGAAAACTCAGGCGATTAAAAGAGATTGAAAATGGTGTTTGTTGGGGGGGGCGGAGTTGTGAGGTTATACTGTTCGCTATAGAGGTCAGGAAAAGTTTCTCTGAAAAATGGTTGGTATTTTAACAAGCTGATATATGATGGGAATATGGGAACACTCATCTAGGTAGAAACAAAAGCAAAAGTAGTGAGGACCCTGAGTCAGGAATGAAGTTGGTATTTTGAGTAATTGAAGAAATGAAGTGCCTGATACCTAGTGAGTAAGGAAGAGAATGTTGAACATGAGGTTTGAGAAACTGGAAAGGGCTTCTAATGTATTCTTTTTGAAAATGGAAGCTATGAAAGGGTTTTAAGCATATTTGCTTTGTAAAAGGTCAAAGAGCTTCTGTTGTTTGGAACATGGACTTGATCAGGCAAGAGCAGATTAAGCAGGGAGCCCAGTTATAAAGCTATTGCTATGGTTCAAGTGAGAAATGATGGTTGCTTTTATAATGCCCTTAAAACTTTGAGTGAACTACCTATCTAGTAATGAAATTAGGCATGTATATAGCTAGCCATGGTTTATAAACATCATTAAAGAGAGCAATGTGTAGATAACCCCTATGATTGTCAAATGACTTGTGTGTTTTCTAACTCCCATTGCAATTCTTTCAGCTTCTTGAATGTAAGGTTGAATAGATACTCTGGAATTAGACAGATCTGGGTTTAAATATAGGCTCTTCCTCTCTGAAATATTATGTTGGTTCTCATTAGTTCGCTTGCTAAAATGGAGGGCTGACAATAGTATCTAAGTTATAGTATTGTAGGGATTAATTGAGAAACTGCAGTTTAGACAGTTTGTGAAATATAATTACTCAGTAAATATTAGCTTTTACATTGAACCTTTTTTTTACTTTTGACATTTTTAAAGCACTTAAAATTGATTTGTCTATTTGTTCTTGATTGTTAGATGTACTTTATGAAGAATCGTGCCCGAAGGCAAGGTATTAACTTAAACCTTCTACCTAATGGTTTCACCAAAAGAAAAGAGAATTCAACATATTTTGATAAGAAGTAAGTTTGTATCTCCATATTAATATATCAGGTGTTCTGATTTGATCAGGAATATCCTTTAAGGTTTATTTTGCTCTATTGCTATCCAAAGTGTGGTCTGTGAAGTGTTTGTTATTGGTTCCTACAAATTGGAAGTAAGTACTTAAAAACTATAGTAACTGTCATGAGTCTTATAAAAATTTGAGCTTGTGTGTCCATATATGTGTCTGTCTGTCTATCTGTCTCTGAGATCTGATATACCATGGAAATATTTCAGAGGCTGTAGGCATAATCAAGGCAGGACTCCTATACTGTTTTAACCACAGAAGCTTGGCTTTTATAATGCTTTCTACTTGGAATTCCAAATTTGATTTCATTTGAGCCAGCACTAGGGGAAAAAGGGACTTTGAAAACATTTAGTCTGTGGTGAATCTTTGAAGATACTGCAACAGATTAGCTTGTGACTTCCTGAAACTGTTGATTAGAATCGGTCCCCATTTTTGTTTTTTTGACAATTATTTTTATTATGCATATAGGTACTGGGGTGTAGGCCTGAGGTGCAGGGGATGAGAGGGTTCACCAGAGACAGAGTGAGGAGCAGAACAGGTGGATCTACTGAAATACACTGCTGAAGGGAGGAGTGGGTGGGTCAGGAGAGGTCTGCTGTGCTATGTGGGTCAGCTCCCTGACTGGGGATGGAACTCATGCTGTAGAGGCTGGTGGTAGCTTGATTGCACTGAGACTTTAACCCTTGTGCCACCAGGGAGCACTCTAGGGATGAGTGGGATGTCAAAGTATCCTAAGTAGCCAACTAAATTATTGGATGATACTTTTCAAAAGTCAAGATTGTGAATTTAAAATAAAAAAATCTGAGTGAATTGCAGCCGATTGAGGTCTTGAGCAATTCAGTTCCTTTCTCTGGGCTTATCTGTGTGATGTGGGATTTGGACTGGAAAACTCAAAGGTTCCCATCCAGTTTTACCACTCTGAAAGTTGAAAAGATAGACTTACTAGTATTATTGTTATTCTCATAAATCCTACAACTTTCCAAAGGATGATATTATCAGTTTGTTTCCAGACAAATATTTGAAAAGGTGGTTGGCTTTTAAAAGAAAAGTAATGCCTCATGTTTATGAACTAAGTTGTTCTTTTGTATGTTTTGACCTGACATATTTAGAAATTGACATAATTTATTTTTAAAATTTAATGTAACTGATTTGTGCTTTCTCAAATATAAAATGTATTGTGTTTTATGAAGAAAATCGCTGTCTTTGGAACTTAGTACTAAAAAGCAAATAACCTCAGATGGAGAATTTTTGTGTCTCTGGATATGTGATGGATGTAGGAAGTTTTTTTTTTTTTTTAAATAGTAGCTTATTTTTACATCAGGATGTAGGAAGTTTTTTATGAGAATATTTCATTAAGTATAGTTGCTAACTTGGAATCCAAATTTGCACTCTTATTATTTTGGAATACCTACTTCTTTCAAATGGCGGTTTCAACTCTTTGCATTATGCCTTTGCTCATGAGTTTATGATGATTTGTAGTAGACATACTTATATCTGTAGGGTTTTTCTGTGAGATTAGTAGATTTTAACGTTGCATCAAGGGCTTTAAGAATTAATTTCTTAGCTTCTTGGATAGCTGTAAAGTCAAGATGATGATATTACCTTCTAGAATTGTGACAATGTGTTAATTCACTTAGGGAGCAATTGATAGATAGAAGGAATCAGTATATAGGAGCAATCATAAAAATGATGTATCTTTGTCACAAAAAGTTTAGAGGAAAAAAACACCTGTAATTCTATGTAGAAATTAACTGCTGATAACATTTATATTTCCCTCAAATTTGATGGTTTTCTTAATTAATATAGTATATTAATTTCATAAAAATATTAAAAAGCATGACTTTTCTCAAAAAACATTATTAATTTTTAATGAATAAAAGCACACTTCTTTGGTGAGTAGCTTTTTTCCATTGAACAAGATATTATGGCCTTTTATTAATACAGTGTTATTATTTTTATTAAGTGTATTCCAACTATGACATATCCTAAATTAGTCCCATATTCATGAAAATTTCATTTATTTCTGTTTTTAATTATTAAAAGTAATCCTGTAGTAAACATCCCTAAAAAATAGTTTTGTGTTCTTATGTGACTTTTTCTGTAGGATCCATACCTAAAAGAATTGAATTACTAGGTTAGAGTGTATAGTTTCATTTTGGAACTTTAAATTGCCTTCCCAAAAAGTATGCACTGACATCAAAAAAATGAGAGTGCTTTTTTAACTGAATATTGGTGAACTTATTTAAAACTTATCTTTGATTATTAGATGTGCCTGTTTGTAGCTCATCTCAGACTACTACATACATTGTGAATACTTTTACCTATTTTATTTATCCATTAATTTTGTATTCCAGTCATTTTCAATGTATTTTAGTTATTAAAAAAAATGTTTATGTAACATAGGATAGTGAAATGGAATGGTTAAAAACATAAACTGGAGCCAAGCTTCCTGACTCCACTTTCTGACCAGCTGTTTCTTAGTGATGTGACTTGAAGAGAAGCTACCCTACAATCTTTGTATCTCAGTTTTCTTAGTAACAAAGTGGGACAAGGAATAATAAGCTGATTTTTTTATTTTAATTTGTAGTATACAAGGGTACCTATCTAAACATTTCATGGCACTGAATTTTCTCTTTACAGAAAAAATTGCTGCTAACTTGCAAGCTTGTAAAGATATTTTAATTTTCTTTTGTGTAATAGTTATTTGGCATGTATTTTGTAGTGGAAATCATAAAATTCAAGTGTAAAATTTGACAATTCAATCTGTTGTGGTAAAGTAAAGGTTCATAAAACCATTTTGGGAATTGTTTTCAGTTAAAAATAAGCAATTCATAAATTGTTCATCACACTTTTTAAATGAAAAATGGTTTTGGTACTACCTGTATTTTAAATGTCTATTCAGATGTTGGATAAATAATGCAATAAGGTGAGTCCAATCTAATTGAAAGCCATAGTTAAAAAATATTGTTAGTTGATTGATAGTAAACTTAGAAACCTCTTTAGTGTGTCTCAGTAGTTTTCTTCATTCTCATTCAGCATTTTCATCAGTGTTTGAGGTAAGGATTTTTCATCTTAGTGTTGTTGAAATTTGGAGCCAGATACTTCTTTGTTATGTGCATTTTAAGATATTTAACCACATCCCTGGCTTCTACTCACCAAATGTTGGTGGCTCACAAAGTACACTCCTTTCATGATAACAAAATTATCCCTTTATTGGGATAATTTATTGTGGCAAAAGGGCGTAGCCAAATCACTCCTATTCAAGAACCACTGATTTATATTAAAAGGTATACTTTTAGATGCAAAAGGTATACTTTCAGTTAATTGTTCTAATCTTTTATTGACCAAAATCAGGATTGTAGAAAATTTTCATTGCTAAAAAGTGGCACATATGTTACATGGTATTTTACTTCAAGGGTAAAAAAAAAAATTGGAAAAGAAGACTTTTAAAAATATCTTCTTCAGGATACTTGTCTTACCAACCATTTTGTGAAAATGACTAATTTTTTAGGTTACTGTAGTTGTAGTTGCTGGAAGGAAGGAAAAGTGGCTAGATATAAATCCTTTCAAAGATATCTTTTCACCTTCTATATTCAATATTTTGGTTTAAGGGAACTTAAACCAAACTTTGACTATCCCCTCTGCCATTACTAACATCATGTAGTCTTGGGCAAGTTTTAATTTACTGGATTCTGAAAGCATTAAATAATACTTGAAGTCCTACCTAGTACTTAGTAGATAATACACAATGATAATGAAAGGTCTGCTGCCCTTACCTGAAATATATTCGCCCCTAGTAAGTCCAGAGGAGTAATACATGATCAAACAATACAATTTTTTGGTGAAGCCTACAAATCTTACATTTCAGTGAATAAATAATGACTGTAAATGGACTCAATCTGTAAAATTCAAATTGAAGATGTTTAAATTTTAAATGTAGCTTTCAAGCAATGTGAGTGAAGAATTCCTTGTGATGTTCTTGTAACTTTTCTATAAAATCAAGTAATTTCAAAATAAAAAAGTTGAAAAGTGTTTTAATGCCCTCTTAAATGTGACTAATGGAACATTGAGCCTAAGTTGCTGTATTGAACAGGTTACGTAACTGATGCAGTAAGTGCTGTAGAAACGTAGGTTCCTGCAGAAGCTATTGACCATAGTCAAGAAAGGGACAGTACCAGCTCCCCCTTTCCCCCGAAATCTCCACTGCTTCCCATGGGATGCCTACCGTCTTCTCCCTCCCAAGTTATCACCCTGACTTCCAACCTATTCTAATTTTTTTCTCCTAAAGATGAATTTTGCCTGTTATAAAAATTCATACATGTGGAAACATGTCACTAATCCAATCTTATTTTTGAATGATAATTTATCTGAAATGTCTTAAACTGATATGTATTTTTACTTTCGTTCTATTATTTATTCCCCCTCCCTTTTCACTTATTTTGCTACTACTCAGAACACTTGTTTTATTAGGTAGTCTTCTGTTGCTTTTAGACAAAAGATCTCCACTTTTGTCTTTGGACAGTTTTGTCTCTGCAGTTTGCACTATGTTTTGTGTCTTAGCATAGTTTCTATTTATTCCCTGGAATTTGTTGTGCTTTCTGAATGTGACAACTGGAAAATTCTAATGCATTATCTTAATCTCATTTCTTTTCCTGTCTTTCTGATTTTCTGGGTGATTTATTCAACTGTTTCATCCAAGTCACTTTTCTCTCCTCAGCTATGTGTAGTTAATCTGATCTTAGCCCATAGCCTGAGGAGTTTTCTGTTTGTCAGTAATATTTTTTTTCATTTCTATAAGTTCTGTTTGTTTCCCAAGTCTGTCTGGCTTTTTAAATAGAATTGTATTTCTTTCTCATGTTTTAAATTTTTTTATTCAGTAATTTAGGACACATCATCTGTATAAATAATTCAGTATCTGCACTTCTTGAAAGTCTATTACTACTGTCTACTGTT